TCGTTGCCGGTGATGCGCGCGCCCGGCAATAAGGGCGCACTGTTGACGTGCGTACCGCACCCGCCGCTCGACCCCAAGGCCGCAGAGGGCTCACAGACGTCGGTCACCTTCTGGATCAAAGTCGGCCTCAATAACAGCGAAGAGGTGTTCAACGCTTTGGTTAAATATAAGGCTAACTGATTGTGTAATTAATTGTTTCCATTGATTATTTAATTAGTAATTAATTGATTTTTTTGTTGATCCGTTTGATTAGCGCTTAAACCACTGTTTTTTTGAGATTAATTACTGGTTTTAATCAGCGATTTGTTGTCTAAAATACATAACAAAACTAATGAATTATAAAACAAAACGTTTATTTTTTTTTTCATTTATTTAATGGTTTTGTTTTATTGTCTAATTTTTTAATTTTCATTGCCTTTACTTAACGTATGAGACGTTTAGTGTATTGTATTGTTTACTGTATTAATGAAAATACAATGAATTGATGGCAAATATTTGAATTATAATTGTTTTTTAAAGCGACGATCGATTGTAAAAAAATATTTTTAATTTCATACATAAATTACTGTACTTTTAATCACATTTAATGCCAAACACAGAACAAGTTAATTGTAATACAGTTTAATAGCTTTTAAATCACAAAACAATACAACATTTAATTACATTTTATTTTTGACATCGATGAAAATGCTATTTAAGTTTACACACATGAAACACAACACACTTTATAATACACATCATATTCTGTATAAAACTATAAAACAATAAAATTCTTTGACAAGTAAACCACAAAACATTTGGTATTAATTATAATAATCATAACTATTATTATAACTATTAATTAACTTTCAATACTTGTATTTCTCGTCAATATCGACGGCTTTGCAACTGATTTCCCACAACTTCTTAGCGGCCAAATCGTCGGCAGCGTTGCCAACCATACTGTCCACTCGGCCACAGTTCCTATAGCACAGAGCACCGGCACATTCATTAAAACACATGGTAAACCATAAACCTATAAGTTAAACAATAACTACTGTATAATTTCACTCACTTATAGTAACGGCCCGTTTCGGAGGCCAGGGAGGGCTCGAGGGCGCAGTAGTGGGTGGTCTGGGCGCCCAACTCGGCCGATATCTGGACTACTTGGGCGCACAGCCTGAACAACACGGCCAGACAGCCGGTCAAATGGCGCTGTAGGTCCGTATTGATGAGCCCCGGGTGCAGAGCGTAGCACCGGATGTTTGTGCCCGACAGGCGTACGGCCAACTCCCTGGTGAAGAGCACGTTGGCCAGTTTGCTCTGGCTGTAGGCCCGGTACTTGTCGTACGATTTTTCCGATTGGATGTCCTCGAAGTCCAGCGCACCCCTGATGTGGGCGATGGACGACACGTTCACCACCCGAGCGTTGGCCGACTTTTTCAGTTTGTCAATCAATAGATGTGTTAGTAGAAAGTGTCCTGTAGTTTGTGGGCGACATGTGGTT